GTTGCCACCTGCTTGAGCCACGAATGAAAGTCTAAAAAAAAAACAAAACTAATAATAAAGCGTAAGCTTTATTATTAGTTTTTTTCTAAAAAAAGGAAAGTCTAAAAAAAAGTAAAGTAGTAAAAGACTTTTTTTTTGACTGTCTACCTTTCCCATCTTCCTCGCCCGCCTTGTATTTATGTGTAGTTGGGTACTTTGCTATAATGAAAAATAAATAAATTCCATTGAACGCACGTATGTCGACCTTTCAATGAAATAAAGTAAAATAAAACAATTTAAGTTTTAAGTTAATTGCTCTTTCTGTACATAGGTACAACTAAAATTATAGGTATTGGTTCAAAATACTTTCTCCGGTCTTGCATGTTGCATTCAAGCGTTGGAAAGCCATGCTTCGGCACAAATGAACCAACTCCACCAGAATGATACACAAAATCGGTATGAAACAACACTTGTGCTGTGCTTCGCCATGTGATTGAGGTAATGGGATTCCAAATCCTCCCGACCTTCCCCAATCCAATCCTCAAATTTCTAAAGTCCCACAGAACTTATGGGGACTTTTTAGAAATTTCTTGGTCATACAAGAAAAGGGCTATTCGATCAATCTATAATCTTAGTCCGAGGCATTCGCTCAGATAATTATTTAAGGAATCTAAAATAATGACAGTTGCCTCTCAATATATTTATGAAAATGTAATTCACGCTAAAAACAAAAGCTTATTTAAGAAATATAGTGATATACATAATATCAACACGAGGGGGAAAAACAAATATGTTGTGCCTGCCTCCAGGGTTCAGAAAATAAGTAGTTCGTTTAGGTGTCAATGTATACGCTTTTACAATAAAATTCCTAGCGATATTCGAAATTTGAGCCTCAATAAATTTAAAAGTGTAATAAAGGCTAAACTTTGCTGTAAAGCATTTTATAAAATAAAAGACTACTTAGAGGATAGTCAGAGCCGCTGTAATGTCTGCACAGGTCATGTTGACATGTTTGTAACATATATTCAGTCAACAAAGTATCGGGAATGAATGTTTTTTTATGGTTCCAAATTCGAATTTTAATTTTTTTTGTTGTTGTTAGATTTGGCATAACTGTTTTCCATTATGGCGCGGAATTTGAGTTGCATCTGTTATTTATATTAAAAACAGTGCTGTTTTTAGTTTTATAATATCTAGTGTATATTGCGAATTTCATAATGGACAAAAACATCGAACAAAGAGTTTGTCTTAAATTTTGCATCGCCAATGAAATTTCGTGTTCGGAGGCACTCAAAATGTTACAGAAGGCTTACGGTGAATCGACTTTATCAAAAACACGTGCTTATGAATGGTACAAAGCGTTTCAAAAGCGGTCGAGATGTGATGGAAGATTTGAACCAAAACCGAAAAAACCACGTCAAAGTCGATCAAAAGTCAAAGTCATGTTGACTGTTTTCTTTGACTATCGCGGTGTTGTGCACTCAGAATTCTTGCCCGAAGGTCAAACGGTAAATAAAGAATATTATTTGAGCGTTATGCGGCGTTTAAGAGAACAAATTCGACGAAATAGGCCAGAAATGTGGAAAGAAAATTCTTGGATTTTGCATCACGATAATGCGCCTTCGCACAAGGCCATCATTGTAAACGATTTTTTGTCCAAACACTCAACAAACACCATCGAGCAGCCACCAAATTCACCAGATATGGCTCCAGCCGACTTCTTTCTTTTTCCCACACTCAAATTACCCCTTCGTGGCACCCGTTTTCATTCGTTAGAAGACATAAAGGAGAATTCGCGGCGAGCACTGAACTCAATTCCGGAAACAGCGTTTAAAAAAAGTTTCGATTATTGGATTATTCGTTGGCGTAAGTGTATCGTTTCTGAAGGAGTATACTTTGCAGGTGATAAAATAAATTTAGATGAATAACAAAAATTTTGTGTATTATTGACTTTTTCCCGGTACTTTCTTGACAGAGTAGTAAGTTACACTTTTATATACAATTTGACATTACGTTTATTTTTTTATACAATGACATGATCACCTATTGTGACATTTTTATTTTTTATTTGATATTTTTTTTATTTATTTGTTGACATTTTTATTATTTTATATTATTGTTAGTGTAAGGACCGTGTGAGACTTGTCGTGCTTTTTGATCACCAGTCATCTGCGTTCTGACAGTTTGAGTACTTGCGCGACCCACCCAAATGTTCTTTTGATCGGTATTGTTCGTCGGACAACTCAACAGCACTAGCTATACTGGTTTGCAAACTGACACTTGAGTGCCTGTCTTCAGAACGGGTCCACTTAAACTGGTGTGGTTCTTTCCTCAAAAGACCACTACAGAATGAACTTGCACGGTTCTCTCACATTATGTTATTTTATATTGTCTGGACTTGAAAAGAGACTGACCTCTGAGTTTGTTTCGGCATTTCTTCTCAGAGTAGTCAGATAGGAAATGCCGGCTTCATCTAGTTTTTCACATATAAATTGACTTGTAAAAGTGCCGTTTTATGGCCTATTTGCAAAAATAAATTCTATGTTTCATTGTTTCATACACCCATAAGTCCTCTGATGTTGTGAGTGTTCACTTGTTCAGAGGCACCGCTGACTGCTGCTGACGGCAAATGAGCACACGGATAACTGATAAGTAATCAGCGCTACCCATGCACAACAGAGGTGTTACGATTACATTGCCGTCCTTTTGGGGATTAGGGCTTCGGAGATTTAGCCGAAGCATGGCTCTCCCACACTATACATTGGCATTCAGCAATAATAAATTTAACGCTAGTTATTAAGTCATTAATTTTTGAATATATTCCTTACAAAATTTAGTTTGTCCATGATTGATTTGTTTTCGAAGTTTCAAATGAACAGCCTCTTAATTATTTTATATTTATTGAATTAAGTATTTAGATGGAACGAGCAAATAGCTTCACTAAGAGGACGACCGACAGACTGACACTATATCTTCAAAATTTTGTTTGACGTTCAAAAGTGCCTGTAAAGGTCTATTTGGAATAAATGATTTTGGGCTTTTGACTTTTGACTTTTGAGATACCTAGTCGAAGTTCAATGTATTTGGTATTTGGACATTATATTTAGTTTTGATAAAATCGTATTTCGACTGAACTTTATCGTTTAGATAATTCGATAAATAAATACATTAAATATTATTTTACTTATTTACTATACCTTGTACTGCATTGCACTATAAGTGTCAGTTAACGGTAAGAATTGATAAATAACTAGTTTCCATAGTAGGAAATTACATTTCAAGTCATTTACAACACCATTCCAATCGATCTGACACATTCGTGCCACAGTTTGACTCTTCCACACTTATTTATTTATGTTATACATATATCAACTCAAAAGCCTTCAATGAAAGAGTCTCCTACTTAATAGGCCGGCAACTCCTTTGTTCTCCTCTGCTCCAGTTGCTGATCGTCAGGTGATTCGTATGGTCATTTCATCAAGATCCATATTTCGGCACAATGACGGCAAATGAGTCACTTAGAATGGAATAATACCACGGCCTCAAAGAAAATCGGGGTAAAGAGTAAATAAAAGGGCAGGGAATAACTAAATCGGCGCAAAACATCACGTAGGTGGTGTTTCGCCGTCTGAGTGACGTTACTGGAGACCAGACACTTGCCCTCTTCCGTCCTCAATCATCAAATCCTTAATCCCAAAAAGATGGGCCACAAACTTCTAACCCTTAGATGTTATGGGTGTCCATGGGCGCCACCGATTGTTTACCATCAGGTGATCCATCAGCTTACCTACCTTGCCTAAAAAATACTTTTAAACGGGCAACAACACAAATTGCTTTGATCCCTCAAAGGGTGGGGATGGGGAGTGGATGTCGAGCTCAAATCTCAAAACACGAAGCATTTAAATCTATACTAATATTATAAAGAGGTAAAATTTGCGAGTTTGGAAGTTTGTATGTTTGTAGGTTTGTATGTAGGGGGTAATCTTTGGAACCGCTGCCTGGTCGGATTGTCAAAATTATCACCGATAGATAGCTACAATGTACCTGAGTGCTATAGGCTATAAAACATCACGCTAAGATCAAATGAATCTGAGCAGCGGGTGAAACCGCGCGAGAGTAGCTAGTTTGAAATAAAGTAAGAAATGAAACGAAAATTGCTATAATTAAATTATATTTATTAAATAGGCTACAAGTAACATACATTTTACCCGCTCTATACAAGTCAAAAATTTCAAAAGAACTGACTAGTTTGAGAATAATTATCGAAGTAGACTCAGATTTCGTAGTGTCTTTTCAAAGCTACTTAGGTATAATAAAGTGGAAAGACCGTGGTTGTTTAAAAGAAACCCATAAAACGAAAAATACATGTTCATAGGAACATGTAGGACCCAATTCACAAGTAACTCAATGGATCTTAGTGATCTCATAACCAAAAGAACGTTTGAGAAGGTCACATATATTCTGAAACTGTCAGGAATCTTTAAATTTGCTACAGCTTCCTTCCATTAACACCTATTATTATAATTATTTTCTTTGCTTTAAATCTAGGCTCTTAGACACCTTATAATATCTTCATATTTTCATCAGCTGTGTTTGTTTGAGGTATAAGTGTGTTTTGAATTTTCTTACTATTTGCCATATATTGAGTATGGCAGTTTTTTGTAGTTTCTTATCTGTGCTGTCATTGATATTTAGTACTTTAAACTATGAAAGAAGATGTTTCGATATTACTCCATTATTAGTACTAGTATATGGACTTGATTTCATAATTGAGATCAATCAGTATGTTATATTTGTCTAGTTGTTCATCTATAGTTTTAGATATATTGTGAGTATTTATTATTTCTTTTATTTCAACATTAAATGATTTACGTTGTTTACTTCCGTCCGTCGGTGCTAGTGTTCCAATTTAAAACCAGTGTTTGGTTCTCACTGAGCCCAACTTATACTTATACGTTTCCCTTGTTTTTTACTGTTTAACTTTCATTTTTTTCGTTTCTTTCTATAATTATTTTGATGGATGCATCTGGTCCGATGTCAAATGTTTTTCTTTCTTCTTCAATGATTCACTTGGCTGCCCATATTACACCCTTGAGTCCACATTCACCACGAACATCTTCCTCGCCATGGACCGGTCTTCGAGCAACATCGTCTAACCATTACCACATTAGTATGTAGATTTAAGAGCTACATCAATAACAACTTCACACTCGCAATCATACCAATAAAACTTAAGTACTAATTCATGATAGTCCATTGATTCTTCCGTTTCTTGGTCTAGCTTTGATATTATAACCATGAAAGCTGGTTACAGAGATGGCGATGTCCAGCTGTATATTGTCCAGGGAAACCGCGGGTTCTAACTTTGCGTACCGAAGCACCCACACCACTAGCGTCTTGATGAGAGCCGTGCCGTATGTTCGACCTGCAAAGTCAAAGTCAAGTCATTAAAGACACACATTAACTTAAAAACTGGCTTGGCCAGTTACCCTTCTAAAACCGCTACATATGAAAAAATCGTCAGTAACACAAATAACCTTTTAATCGTGGTAATAAGAGACAATAGTAAAACAATAGGTACGCAAACGCCGGCACAGACTATATTGTATTATACTAAAACTCCGGCGTTCGCTTGGGATTAGAGGTATTAATTTATTTAGTTACCTAAACAATCCATAGGTCCCAAACTGAAAGGTATGAAGGCGTTAGGGTCACGTTTCTCCACGTTCTCCGGGAGGAACCTCTCCGGCATAACTTTATTGGGGTGTTCCCAGTAGCGAGGGTCGCGATTCAGGCTGTGGATTGGTATCACCAGCGATGTACCGGCTGGGATGGTGATGCTTCCTGGAAGACGAGAAAAACCAACTTAAGAAATGATGCTTGAAGCGAATACGTAGAAGACTGGATACAAAAACAGAAGTGAACCACATTTTTAATTTTCATTTGATCCTCTAAATCCGTAAATCTTATTTTTGAGGTCTTTTATCCTTTAGGTATTAATTTAATCATATAAAATATCTTTAAACACACGTTCACCTTTCGCTCTGTGATATAGACTTCAATTTGCTTTCTTGCACCCATAAATGCAATTAATTGCTTAAGCAATATTAAGCAACATCAAGGGTTCTGACATAGATCCATCTCAGTAGGAAAAGTTGGCGTCTATCCGCAGAGAATAGAGGTCATTGGTGACTTGGAGACTAATAGGCTCTCAGAATTAGACGCAAAGCGGGAAGAACTGAAAGCCCGACCACCAGTAACAATGCCTTACCATTCTGTTAATGGTACTCTTAGGTGTCCATTCTGTGCGACAATATTTAAGGTTTTCTAGCCAGATGAAAGCCTATGGTAAACGGCAGTAGATGAGTAAAGCTATGGTCGCCTTAGCCAATAACGGCTAGGAAGGATTATGAAATGCTATTGACAAATCAATTGGGTAGGCCTATGTCCAGCAGTGGACGACAACAGGCTGATGATGATGATGATGTTTGACAAATCAATATTTTATATCATTCATACCATCTTTAATAGAAATATCTTCGATCACAGTCCTCTGTATCATCGCTCCTATTGGGAAATACCGCAGTGTCTCCTTGTACACCATGTCCAGGTTCTCCAGCAGCTTCAACTGCTCATTGGTGACTGGACCATCAGGTCCGACCACATCTATTATTTCTTGGTACACCTTATCCTGGAAATTCATGATCAAGGACAAAATGTCAATTATTATATGTATAGGTATCCGAAATCCCCAAAATCCCCAAAAGGCTAGCAGTGCACTCGTAACTCCTTTAGTGTAGCGGGTGTCCATTTGCGGCGCCGATTACTTACCATCAGGTAACCCATCAGCACGTTTGCCGACCTATCCTATAAATACAATCTGATGCTTACCTGCCATTCCGGCAAGTGTGCTAGGAACATAAGGACTCCAGCTGCTATTTTAGCCGCTACCTCTTGGCTCTGAAAAGATAAAAAGAAATATTTTTATTTCACATAGTATATGTATAGGTACAGAATCAGTAAAGCACCAATTAGACAGCACTATTCGTCGTGCTCCAATTCCCTAAGTTCCGATGGATTGGGTGGAATGATCGCCGTTAGGCTGTTTGGGTACTTAAACTGGCAATCGAGAGAGCCTGACCACCCGAAGTCCCTAAGTCTTTAAAAATCTAGTCCGATTAATCGTGCCCGCTGATAGCCGCCTTTATCCCACATTTGTGTATATGTGAAGATAAAACCTTAAAGAATCAAACTAATATTTAAAGGTCTCAAGAACATCCAAGGAATTGTACAAAAACAAAAACCCGTAGTTGTAGGTAGATAGAGTTTAGTACGGGTTCTGAGGAGCGAGAAATAATGTTCCACACAAGATTTAAAGTGAAAACCTTGTAGTGACGCACATAGTAACGACAATATTGATTAACTTTATAAAATTGAAGGGCTAAAACGAAGGGTATCAAAGCATTCTATGGTGGTATACTTAAGCTCAATGTTAAGTAGCAAGCATCAAGCCACTAAGAATATTATTTACAGTGGTCAAGCGGTCAGTGGCGGGTAGTGGAATAAGGGGGTAGTGGCGATACCTGTTATGCCACGCGCATGCGTTCGACACTAACCGTTGGGATGCCGCGTTACAACAGTGTAATTTTAAATTTTAGCAATTAACTCACGCTAGTAAATAAGGTCATGGTTTCCTCCTTGATCTCCTTGTCAGTGAGCTCTCCAGACAGGATAAGTCTGTCCACAACACCCATGCACTCCTCATCAGGCTTGGATACCTCTAAGGCTTTTTTCCTCCGTCTAACGATATCTTCCATCACGTCATCTATCAGCTTCAGGTAGTAGTCGTGCTGCTTCTTCTTGCCAAGCAACCAGTATATTAACGGTACTTGTAACCACCATTTTGTCATTTTGTTGAATATTAGAGTGTACATGCTGTGGGGTTACGAAGCATATTATTATTCAAATATATGGTTCTTACGATTTCATTACTTGAGACTGACAATGCTCAATACGTGCCCAACCTTATAGCACTTTGAGACCTATACCAATCGGTATACATAGGTAATCGTACGGCGTTAGTCACCAAATTACAAAGGAACCGAAAATGTCTGGTAAGAAAAATGTACCTCAAAATACGAGGGTTAGCTACCAGTTTGTATTATTATTATTAAATCTAAGCATGTGTACTGTAATTGTAATGGCATGTCGATAGATATGATGTCACTAATTGGTGTAAGTGCGGTATACCACAGGGTTCGGTATTAGGACCTTATTTGTGGAACATCGAATGCGGGCTGAGAAAGAATTTTCTGCCACGGAGCATCGTCTTCTGGTCTCTCAGTTTTACCAGAAGACTTTTAACTGCATTTCTTTAAAATAAAAGAGATTTTTTGGTGGCAAATGATCCAATGACTTCTTTCACCTTGAGTGGATGAAGCGAAAGGGACTTTTACTGATTTACAACCACCGCGTTCCTTCTTCTGTGGATAATACTGGGCCAAGGTATTCTACATAGTCTGGCCATAAATACTGTTACAATTAAAAATAAACAAAATATTACATTTGAATTTGGAATCTGTCATTTTTATATAATTTTTCATTGTGTTTTCTTATTTTGGCGTCAATAAATTGTTCAATATTTTGCGATATTAAAATGGAGTGGGGTGATAAAGAGAACCGAATCGCTGTGATTGCATTACACAAAATGGGTATGGAGCCAAATGCAATTCTTAAAACTCTCCACACGCTTGGCATTAGTCAAATGTTTGTGTACCGGGCTATTAATAGGTACAATGAGACCTCCTCTGTTTGTTACAGAAAAAGATGTGGCCGTCCACGTAGTGTTCGTACGAAAAAGGTGGTCAAAGCAGTAAGGGAAAGAATTCGAAGAAATCCTGTTCGAAAGCAAAAGATTTTATCTCGGGAGATGAAGATAGCACCTATAGAACCATGTCGCGTATTTTAAAAGACGACTTAGGACTTGCAGCCTATAAGAGACGCACTGGAAATTTTTTAAATGAAAATTTAAAAAAGAATAGGGTGATAAAATCTAAACAACTACTGAAGCGGTACGCAACGGGAGGTCACAGAAAAAATTTGTTTACGGATGAGAAAATTTTTACAATTGAGCAATTTTTTAACAAACAAAATGACCGTATTTATGCTTAAAGCTCTAAGGAAGCTTCTCAATTAGTCGACAAAGGGCAACGTGGGCATTATCCGACTTCAGTGATGGTTTGGTGGGGTGTTAGCTTTGAAGGAGTGACTGAGCCATACTTTTGCGAAAAAGGTATCAAAACATCGGCACAAGTGTATCAAAATACCATTCTTGAGAAGGTAGTTAAGCCCCTTAACAACACCATGATCAATAATCAACAATGGTCCTTCCAGCAAGACTCGGCGCCGGGTCATAAAGCTCGGTCCACGCAGTCTTGGTTGGAAACTAACGTTTCCGACTTCATCAGAGCTGAAGACTGGCTGTCGTCTAGTCCCGATCTTAATCCGCTGGATTATGATTTATGGTTAGTTTTAGAGAGTAGGGCTTGCTCTAAACGCCATGATAATTTGGACTCCCTAAAACCATCCATACGATTGGCAGTGAAGAATTTTCTCATGGAAAGAGTGCGTGCTTTTATTGATAACTGGCCTCAACGTTTAAAGGACTGTATTGCAGCCAATGGAGACCACTTCGAATGAGCTTTTTATGTTTTAAATTGTTTTATATTTATGTATTAAACTTACATACTGTAAAAGTACCTAATAAATGTTATTTGCAACAGACTAAATATTTTTTTTATTTGTTGCAGTATTTATGGCTAGACTAGGTATATAGCCTTGGTTGGAATCGGCCTTGAAATAGTACAGGTATAAGGATGGTGGATTGAGCATTATCCTTTTAATTTTTATGGAGGGTTTAAGGAATAAACATAGAAAATCAAATCTTACTCATGGGTTTTAAATATTATTTCTTCCAATCTGTACACTTGTTCTGAATCTTCTTTAGATAACCCCATTAGTGTTTCTGAAACCAAGTAATGAGTTAATTGATTTCTTTTATTATATTGTTGTTAAGTTATTAAGGTTCTTAACTTTTTATTTGTGTGAAAAGATACACGTACTTCTCTAATAAAAAAATGAATAATTGACTTGTAATGTCGGATGAACTTACAATGTCAATATGGCTCAATTGGCATGCATATAAAAAGTGTTTGGTCAGTGAGTATTAATGCGGACTTTTCAAAAATTGACAACAATCACCAGTCATTAAAATTCCTAATCTTAAAAAATGAATCATTTGCTATTCCCATTTATAATCACATTTTCTATACCAAAATGTCATATATTCCGAAATTGTTTACTTACGATTAACACTTTGCGTAGTACTTCTGAGTATATCCTTGTAGCAATCAAAGGTCACCGGTTCTTTCTGACTGATAACCTTGGCCAGCTCCTCACACTCCTTGTTGAAGACAGGAAAGTAGTTCTCCACCGACTTCTTGTTGTAAGAGAGAATCACTATTTTCCTATGAGAGCGCCAGGTTGGTCCTGAAATGTTTTTTTTCATAGTCAAGTTAAGACAAATCATTAATTTCAAAATGGGTAGACCACAACAGGTACTTTTAACCATAAAAAAATCACAAGGGTCTTATTTTTATTTGCGTCAGTCTGTCGGTCTGTCTGTCCTCTAGTGAAGTGTTAATTCCTATGGATAAGAACGAGCAAGAAACTCCATGGATACTATTTATCATTCAGTTTGACAATTCATTTCTTTGTTACATACTTAAGTCGTCATAGTACACATGACACCCAGACCCGAAGCAACAATTAATGAAGCACAAAAAGATTTGTTCCGGGACTAGAATTAGTGAACAGGCTGCCATTTTGGAGTGGTCAGCACAATCATCATTGTTTTAAATAAATGATTACTCTTATGCTTTTTTTCATTTTTGTTTAGACTATTTTTGTGGACCACAAATCTATATCTATAAAAATGATTCGCGAAATGCTTTAGTAAGCGAATAACTCAATAACGACTGCACCTATTTTGTCAATTCTTTTTTTTGTTATGTTCGTTATTACCCGACTGCCAAAGAAGGAGGGTAATGTTTTTCGAGTGTATGTAAGTATGTATGTATGTCTTTTCCTTTGTGACCTCCTGTAGCCTAAACGGCTTGATGGATTTTGATGTATGAGGTATCGTTAGATTTGTCTTGATTACGGGAGTGTCATAGGATACATTTTATCCTAAAAGTCCCACGGGATAAAGACATAATAATATTTTTTCTAAATTTCCCTTTAAAAAAATATGTATGCGGTATCATTAGATTCATTTCAATCACGGGAGTAATTAATATAGGATACGTTTTTTCTCAAAATTCTCACGGGAACATGTTAATTCTGCGTCAACGCAAAGCAACTCATGCGTTAGCAAGCAAAAAGATAGGGCGTGGCCTGGCATGCGGCGCGCGGCGCGGTGCGGAGGGGGATATGCTCGAGTATACAGCCCGAATGCGGGCACACGCATAAGGGCACACGTCGTTGACGGTCGTCTCTAAATAGCGATTTTTCGTTAAATAAAAACAGCTAAAAAGTTATAAATAAAAAAATTATTATTAAAAAAACAAAATACCCGACTGCACACTAAAAAAAGAGTAAAACAAGCCCCACAATACAAATTTACTGAATATAATTTATAAATGTTGATGGAAAGCATCGCAGGCGGGGACCAACAGAGGCTTATTTATAGTCATTTCTGTTGTGCACCATTTAGCAGAATTTTCGTTGGTGGCGGTCAAGGTGGTCCCCGCCTGCGATGCTTTCCATCAACATTTATAAATTATATTCAGTAAATTTGTATTGTGGGGCTTGTTTTACTCTTTTTTTAGTGTGCAGTCGGGTATTTTGTTTTTTTAATAATAATTTTTTTTTAGGATAAGGTTTTTACGAAAGAAAATTCTAGAAAAGTAAAGGGGAATAATGGGAACTAACAATTCTGTCTGTGTGGCTGTCTGCTAACAAAACAAATGACTGGTAGTCGGTAGACTGGTAGGGGTAGTCGAATACCCGTGCGAACTTGGGAAGGGCCGGTAGTAAGTAATAAAAATATCATAGATAGATATGTATCGTTTGTGTAGTATTGAATTCTTGTCCTCATTTTTCATCATCTCTATGACAATCATCATCATCATCATCAGCCTATAAGTGCCCACTGCTAAGCTACGGCCTCTTCTCACACGGAGAAGGTTTGAGCATTAATCACCACGCTTGCTCGATGCGGGTTGGCGATTTCAAACTTATAATTAGAAAGTAAAGTTCAGGTTCCTTCACCGTATGTCAGTGGTGTCTTAGTACATATAACTCGGAAAAAGTCACATTGGTACTAACCAGGTTTCGAACCCTTAACTTCCGGGCCACCACGACCTATATGACAATGTTGTTGCACTATTGGATAATCAAAATTAAAATTCTTACCTCCCGATAAAATTCCACTGCCGATGAATGGTACCATAAAATCATACACTGGCCCTTTCTGATTTACTTTTGTACTTGATAGTAAAGACTGAAATGAAATTAATATTTTTTTAATATCATTGGTCGGTAAGCAGACGTATTACCTGATGGTAGGCATTCAAAAACGCCAATGGTACCAAAAATGTTTCAAGTGCATTGCCTTGATTTGTGATTGGTTAGGACTTGAGAATTCGCGATAGGGATTAGTTTCACTTCCTTAACTAAATTTACTCATAGTGACTTTTTTATTATTTAAGTGTAGGAGAGCCATGCTTGGGTACGAATGGGCCTGCTCGACCATGGTGATATTACATACTACACTGGTCTACTACGGCCTCGGTATAAATACAGGTGGGCTGACGATAATAACAGTACTTGGCCATGGTCACAAGTCAAACAAGACCCAATCCTTCCTCTCCCCCAATCCCAAAATGTCCAAACCACTGATCCACAAAAGGGCGGCAACGTTGTTCCTCCTCCGTTGTTGCGGGTGTCTATAATCCGTAATCCGTTTGCTCGTTTGTTTAGCACATAAAAAAAAAACAACCAGTCCCATTGCAGTACTGAAAAGCGATACATATATTATGTAAAATGTCGGTAAACACTTACACGGATATACGCTGGGTTTCTCACAACAATATTTAGTTCAGGCCCCAGCCAGAATCTATAGATTTCACCGTACTTCTGCATGAGTTCTTCTAATTTGTTCACAGTTTCTGAAAATTGATAATAATATATTTTATTTATCGGTACCTGTTGTTGTTTATTAATAATAGTTCCTGATGAACTGTGTTAATGACACTTTTTATTTATTTCAACATAAAGAGAGAGTTTAATTATCATTATATTTAAAAATAATAATATAAAGAGGGACATTATATCACCTTAAAAAGAATTATGTACCTAATCATGATTAATTAAACAAAGTATTTTAACTAAAAGGAGCGTTGTATCGTGGAAATCACGTAGACCTCCAAGTTCAAACACCTTACATTCTGAACTTATTGTCGGTTTAAGCAAAAGTGTATATTCATGATTTTTAATTTTCTCAATATATTTTTTATTGGTATCCCCAAGGTCTGGGTCTGGTTGCGTACGTTCCACGCACGCCTCAAAGAACCAATAGACTAACACAGACGGGACCCAACTAGGCTGATGTTAAGCCGGGATTGCGGGGCAACCGCAATAAGGCCTCAGCATGGAGCAGTTGAAGGAACGAGGAGTTTTTATCCAGTAAGAGTCTGATACTTTCTTTCGCCTCAAATTGGGCAAGAGAAGTTACTTTTATAACTTTCGTGAGACATTCTAAATTAATTATTATGTTTTCGGCTTACTCACGTAATAATTTGACGAGATACTCGACTAGTTTCAAGCCGCGTAGTCCAGTAGCAGCGCGACAGTTACCGAGTCGCGTGTCGCGGAATGCTGCTCATGAATATGGGCCTCTAGCATGGCTTGAAACTAGTCGAGTATCTCGTCACATTATTAAGTGAGTAAGCCGAAAACATAATAATGAAGAGAAGAAGTTATTTGATGATATTCCCATCAGATGTTCAAGGTGTTACTTACATAGGCACGTAAATAATAATAAACAGGAAGGTGATAAGCGATTTCAAAATTTTAATAAGAAACTATTATACATATAAGTACCGGTTTCACACGGTGAGAGGAGAGACAAAAAAGGCAATTTTAAGTTTACATAATATACATTTGAAGTCGCATATTATAAAAACGATTAATGATAATTTAACTTCTAAAATGTACCTAATTAATTAATTCCTTAGACCTTGAGATGAAGAATTCTTAATGTCATTTACAAACTGTTGTTCCGGTTCTGGTTTTAATGTGTATATAAAGTTGTTTGTATGTTTGTAAACAGACCCGTGACATAGGGCAACATCGTAGTGTGGGGCAAAGTTTAAAAATGAAGAAAAAATATTATTATTATTTATTCGTTTTCGTAATTTGGACTTTAGAGTTTGTATGGTAATCCGTATCACGTGCGCGACCATAGTGCTTTTTTCGAGACGGAGAATCGTCAGAAGAATTCTCTAGCCCTTGGTAGGTCGAGAATGAGTGTCAGACTCTTACTGACTAAACACCACCTCGTTCCTTTTTCTACTCCTCGGGGCTTAGGCACGTTATTGCGGTTGTACTCGCAACTGATCACTCGAGTGAACAATCATGCTCCAAATACTGATGATAAGGAATTGGGGCAACAGTGGGACAGTTATTTTTTTGTGTAGTAGGTCGGTCAACGAGCAGACGGATTACCTGATGGTAAGCAAGCAGCGCTGCCCATAGACACTCGTAGTACCAAAGGAGTCACTACAAGTGCCTTGCTGGCCCCTTGTGGGTTATTCGAGAGTAGGGGTAGGTAGGTAGGGGTAGTGGGGTAGGTAACCTCAATCACACGACGAAACACAATTTAAGTGGGCACCCGCACCACCAGAGGAGTTACAAGTTCGTTGCTGGCATTATGAGAAATAGGCGTTGTTGGGATTTAAGGACCAAGAAGGGATAAGGGGACGGGAGGAATATTTGCGGTAACCTCATTCACAAGGCGAAACATAACGCCGAAATAAACATCACGCCGGTTTTCTGGGAGGCCGTGGTATCACTCCGGTCAAGCCCATGACGGTCTGGTTAGGATGATAATAATCTTCTAACTTCTTAATATTAAACGTTGCCCCACACTAGGATTTCCTCCTGTGTCGTGGGTGCGGTTACAAATATACAATTTCTCATGCACATGACACCCAGATCCGGACCAACAATTTGTGGGTCACACAAAGAGTTGTTCCGTGCGGGAATCGAACCCGCGACACGTTGCACGGCAGCCACCGCACCAACCGTGCAGTCCAATAATGAAACAGTGACCTGCTTTTACCTTCTGGACGGCTCATAAACACAAGCGTGTTCCCCAAGAGTGGAAGCGCGGTTGGACCTGGCAGTTTGCTGGCCATCTCTAACATCCTTCTTCTTTTGTATCTCCAAACCAACCAACTGGCTGACAATGCGCCGCCCACCAAGTACAGGACCGCCAACAACCAGTTCATTCTGTAAAATCAAAACTATTTAATGTCATTAAACAAAAAACAAAAAATTATTTGAATGTAACAAAATATGTTTCAATAATAAGGTTCAATTTTGAAATACCCTCTTTTATTAGTTAGTTCTGTTTTCTATATAATATGCTATTTGTTGTATCGTTGCTTCTACTTTACACGGTTCTCCACTAATTTATAAACCTTTTCAACCACTCTTATCTATTAATAAACCCCATCAAAATCCGTTGCCTTGTTTTAAAGCTTTAAGTGTACATAAGGGACATATAAAGCGGCTTTTTATATCACATAGCATAGAATTATTATATTTTCAATCGACACAATGATTATTTAATTTTGTACAAGTGTCATTTGTAATATGGAATCCCGGAACTTTGGGAGGCGTACGAGGGGCCGAAGCCAACTCGCAGAGGCCCGTTAAACAGTTTTAATCTAAATGTGATGGAAAATCAGCTACATTTTCATTCCTATTATTCACAATTGAGTAATGGAGTTGTTTTTTTTATTATTTGTTGAGTTATTCTTGCGATAAAATTCTGTCCGCGAAAAGCCCAAAAAAATAAACATATTTTTTTTTGTCTATGACCGACACGCGCGCATAGGAATACTGATTAATTTTTGCCGCCATTACGAAACATTTTTCACAACTCTTCTAGTTTACATTTTTCAAGTTCTTGTTAAGTATTATTATACTCAGAAGTGTGTTGAAAATTGGCATCGAACGATTATGCTATGAATGAACTATGAAACGCAACATCCAATTATTGAGCTGAAATTTTGTATGCATGCACTAAACAGAATCCTTTTATTGTAAATCTAAGAAATATCTGAATATATTTCTTCCGTTCCTTCTTTAATTCCGGGTCTTGTGACCCATCTAATAAGATCTTGTATTCAAAGTTTTTTTTTGTCTAATTACAGGTCTCTCGTTTTTTAATTCATTAAACCCGCTCTATGCGATTTTTTGCTGCGCCTTTCAGTAGTCAGGCTGTAAGAAGTCCTTATAAGCATTACATTGGACGAATGAATGAATGTATGAATAAATGGAAAATATAATGAATGGTTGAATGAATGAATTAATAATTTATTTAAATAATAATTAAAGAATGAATGAACGATTGGTATCTTTTGACTGTGACTCCCAGTTACGTAATTTTTTTTTTTGGTAAATGACGTCCGAATAAATTACAAATTGTATATGAAAAAAATACATGTTTTGATATTTTGAATGAATAATTTATGAGTTTTGCAAAACCAGTTTGAACGTATTTTATTTTATTATTTCGCAAATGCGGTCTTAGGCAAGCATAGCAGTGTTGAACTCATTTATCATATTGATTCGTAATAAAAATACAAACTCATAGCTTAAGAATGAGAATTATAATCAATTAATCTTACTAATATTATAAATGCGAAAGTTACGATGTTTGGATGTTTGTTACTCAATCACGCCAAAACGGCTGGACGGATCTGAATGAAATTTAGCACAGGCATAGGATACACCCCGGAATAGGGTTTAGGCTACTTTTTATCAACATACCAGGCGGACGAAGCCGTGGACGGAAGCTAGTACGAAAATATTGTAAATGGCTTCGATCCGTTACCTTTTATTTTACATTCCTTTAATAATTATTTATCCATTCTTATATTTGGCATGAATACCCTTAAGGTCAAAGTCTATAAGTAACTATGTAGGTAGGTATAGGTATTTTTTCCGAGTTATATGTATATACTTTAAGGTTATTTTGACCTGACCTTAACAATTCTAATCATAACTTTGAAATCGTCAACCCGCCTTGAGCAGTCAGTGTAATTAAAGTTCATTAGTTTTCCGTATTAGAAAAGGCCTTCGCTCATGGGAAGGCACTAATAAACCGGTGGGTAATTTGATATAAAATAAAACAAATGAAGATAGAAAAATATGTAGTTGGATAAATAAAAGTGTAACTGAGTGTAACACATCCATCCATCTTTCTATACTAAATACTTTTCGAGACTATTAAACTTTTTATAAGACTGCAAGAGGTCCTATTTAGCTTTACATTGAGCGAATGAACAAATAAAAAAAAAATGAATAAATAGGATGAAAATGGAACCAAAAACGAAGGAAAAATGTCGTAGTAACCTTAAAGTCAAGCTTAAGGGAGTGGGTCTTTTACCTGACATTAACAATGTAACTTTTTCTAAATTGTAATGTGTTTTTGTATTTTTTAAAGTGTATTTAGACTGACACGCTGTGTAGGAAAACATAAGTTAACATAAGATCAGGTTTCTTGACACAGCCAGCATGTCAGCAAACCTGATCTTAAAATTAGCATCTATGTAGCTTCACTGACGAACAGACTGACAGACCACTATTCTATTTTGACGTTTCAAAAGTATCTACATAATTATGGTTTAGTTGGAATATGTAAATGATTTTGAATTTTGAAATTATTAAAATAATAAGAAATTATCAAAGTCCTGCAGCAGTGTGATTCGGTAAGTCTTCATTCTAAACTTCGAATCTGAATCCGCTGTGAGTATTAGTGCACTAGCACTACACTTGCGAGTTGAACTAAATTGACAGCAACATTTTGATGGATAAAGTATGAGATGATGTTAAAAGTGGCATTCTAAAATTTAATTTCCAAGTCACTTCGACACTCACTACGCATTTGAAAACAATTCAAAATCAAACAAATTATATAGAATCTACGTGCTGGTCATGGTTTGAAAAATCCACTTCGAATAAGCTTAAACCTTCTCCGTGCGAGAAGAGGCCTTTGCTCTGCAGTGGGCATTTATAGGCTGATGATGAATTATGGTCAACGCGCAGGGCATAAAACGATTTAGAAATTGAAAAAAAAACATAATCCATGATCCATCCATGATCCGATTCGGTTGAAAATCTTTGAAGTTCTCTATGTGTCAGCTAATGGACCCTACAGCCGGGGTCCATTAGCTGCCAGTAGTAGTCCGTTTCCTCGAGGCAGATCGATTAGGACATTTTAGTTATGAAAGTGCCAATAACCTACCAATTATTACCTAGTTGCGAATTCTTGGCATTTGATATTTAAATCGACCGTATTAAATATGCATATACACGCGAATTGAGGCTATATTCTCATATACGAGCTACACTCGCGCGGTGTCACCCGCTGCTCGACTCCTACTGATTGTAGCGTGATGTTTTATAGCCTTAAGCCTTCCTCAATAAATGGTCTATTAAACACAAAAATAATTTTTCGATTCGAACCAGTAATTCCTGAGATTAGCGCGTTCAAACAAACAAGCAAACTCTGCAGCTTTATAATATTAGTATAGATAATATAATACATAGTAAAATATACGAGTAGATTATTCAAAACTTTACAAACGATATAATATTCACTATGGGTATTCGAAAATAACACAGCGTTTTCTTCTCCTCCACCTCCCCCCAAAACTCCGAAACCCTAATCCCCAAAAGGCCGGCGATGCAGTCGTACACTCCTGCGATGTTGCGGGTGTCAATGGGCTTGCTTAGCATCAGGTAATCCGTTTGCTGGTTGGCCGACCTCTTCATACTTTTTGTCTACGGAAAAGAGGTCTGCAACCGACCATGCAGACAAGGCACTATTCATGAACACCCAGGCAACATAAGAGCTAGTGCCAGTTAGATATTTGAGGATAGGCTGATGATAGAATTAGTGTTGCAGAGAATTGGGCCTCCGCCCTTAGTCCCGAAACCAAAAATTCTAAGACCTAACGTATTCACACTTTTATCAACCACTAGCGGGCCCGGCAAAATCCGTACTGCCTCAAAATCAACATTAATTTTCAGACCTTTAAAACTTCTCTGGACGAACAGTAATCCATTTTTATATATCGATAACAGACAAAAAAAAAATGAAGATGTATCTATAATTTGGTATTGTCCCTATCTAGCTTCAACTTTGACTATATACAATGTCACCATACATTTAAATTAATTTAATAATTAATTAGAATATTCGATAAAAATAAAACTCACTTTAGTATTAATAAAGGGCAGAACTGTTTGTTGAGTTTTAAAAAAACGTCACTGAAGTGATCATACACGGTTGTTCGTAATCAAAAACACTGTTACACTAAAACTAAAAAAAATTGACTAAAACTATCACACGATCAAATCAAAACGCTACCGCACACTAACAGAATTACACTAAAGAAGTTTTGCTATTTAAAAACTTATCTTATATAAGTACCAACGATGGCGAAATCAAAGGATTTTTTAAACCGGTTTTTGAGTTTAGGCACAGCAGTATAAACTGTTACAATATTTTTTTAAGATCTATTCGAATAAATTACTGTTTACAATAAGTCTGTGAAAAATATAAAATATCTATACTAATATTATAAAAAGGTAAAATTTGTAAGTTTGTATGTAGGATCTTTGGAACGCTGGTCTGATTGCCAAAATCCTTTCACTGATAAATAGCTACAATGTTTCTGAGTGCTATAGGCTATAAAACATCACGCTACGATTAAATGCGGACGAACAGCGGGTGAAACCGCGTGAGAGTAGCTAGTTAATTATATAGGTAGGTATATCTTTTATCTCAGGAGTAAATCAGTGTAACAACAACAAACATATTTCGCATAAAATAAACTGAAAGCCTGATTAGAGTATAAAATGCTTGTAATTTTGTGTGTAATAATTTTAAAATTAATGTAATGGCTATCTTTATCGTGAGACATAGCTATAGGTACTAAAATTATAATATATTATGTACTAGAGCTCCGCACGGGATACTAGACTAAATTTCTCCACCATTATATGTAGTTACTAGCTACTCCCGCGGGGTTTCACTCGCTGCTCGGCTCCATTTGATTGTAGCTTAATGTTTTATAGCACTCGGGAAAGAATTTTGGGACTCCGACCAGTGGTTCCAAAGATTACACCCTACATAAAAACTTACAAATTAAACCTCTTTGTAATATTAGTATAGATTATACTTTTAGGTATTTTCGTTGTTTTTGTATTGAATAGATGATAATGTAAACTTTTTTAATCAGGGATATGTGAGAGTATTATAAATGTAAAAGTAAACAAATATAATCAGAATGCTCCGAACTGTTAAGCTATCAGGAGTTACACGTGTTATTGTGAGTCAACCATAAAAGATAGATATGTAGGATATTTTGTAGATAATTTTATGTAGAACATTCCCGTGATACATGATTTCTATATAACTTTAACCTTTAAGCCTGCACACGAGACGGAAGATAAAAAAAATAGTAACTTCTCCCAACATTTTTGTTTTCCCAACAATTTCCTTCACTGCTCAGCTCTTTTTAATTGTAGCGCGATGAAAAGTATTCTATAACCTGCACAGGAGTATAAAGAGTAATTGAGCCAAGTTTCATTAAAATCTGTCGAGTAGTTTTTGTTTCTATAAGGAACATACAGACGGACAGACAGACAGTCAGACAGACAGACAGGCAAAAATTTTACAGATTACATTTTTGACATCAGTATCGATCACTAATTACCCCCTGATAGTTATTTTGAAAATATATTTCATGTACAGAATTGACTTCTCTACAGATTCATTATAAGTAAGTATAGATATATAGATAACGAGAGAAAATTACTAGTTTCAAGACACAACGGAACTCTTATTCACGAGCAGCGTTCGCGGTTATCGGTCAATGTCAGTAAGTCGTTACATTCAAGTGTAATTATATAAAAATGAATCAACATACAAAGTAAAATAAAAAAATAAAAATGCATCGCAAAATGTGTTTGTAAGCGCATAACTCAAGAACGCCTGGACTAATTTTGCCAATCATTTTTTTTTCTTATATTTTGTTATTTGTCAGGAGAAGGTTCTTATTAAAGAAAATATGAGGGGAAATTTGGGAAAAAGTGACCCTTTCGTTGTTAGTCAGATAGTTGGACCCGTGCGAAGCGTGGACGGGCCGCTAGTTGGCAGAATCAGTAGTGATATTAAAGTTAAAAACATACCAAACTTTCTGAGAGCAAAACTTTACGTTCCTCTTTAGGAGGTTGGTATCTGAACCTTTAAGAAATAATTCATCCTTTCAAGACGGGTAACGCGCCTGTGACTCCTCGGGAGTTGCGGGTGTCCATGGGTGCCGCTGATCTCTTACCATCAGGTCATCCGTCTACTCGTTTTCCTCCTATTCCATAAAAAAGATAGAAAATGTATATTTTTATCACGCATTTTAATCCAGTGACCGGTAATGCTGGCCAGGGAACTTACTTTGACGTCATCAGTGAGATTCTCAGGCCAGTTACAACTTATGGCATTGTTGTTTTAGTGGCACCTTTGTGTGATGGAAAATCTTCAGATGACTTCTCTCGCCCAGGGTTAGGGGGTTATCATATTCTACAGGAGTCTCAGACTCTTACTGATTAAAAACCTCCCCGTTCCTTCTCCTGCTTTAGGACGAGACTGTGATACCTTATTGGTCTTGTCTCGCAAACCTGGCCCTACTGGGCCCTACGTGGCCTGGCCTGGCCTCTTTACGCTACGCGCCGTACTCTCGAGAACCAGTCTGGGTGCGTTTCATTTAGACACTACAGACCAAGGTAACATCGGGAGGGCATTATATTTTCTAATTATAACTTTGAAATTGTCAATCCTCTTAGGCAAGCGTGGATGATTACTGCTTAAACTTTCTCTTTGTGAGAGGAGAGGCCTTTGATAAGCGGTGGCCTTTGCTAAGTGTTGCTAACGGGAATAACAACAGTGGAGCATGCAAGTCTTCCAGACTCCAGAGCGGAATTGAGGCAAGCAGCTCGAGGATTGAGCAAAGAGCCTTGACTGGGCTTCCTTTACAAAATCCTGTATTGAATAAGTAAGATAAATATTTTGACACGAAACCAAATATTATACAGCAACGCGATGTTTGTAATCTATATCGATCAATCAATAAGAATGAAAAAGAAGAATTAAGTGATAACTAGTATTGGGTAATTAATCCGAGTTCTGTCAACTACGAGAGAGCCTATTGCGTGTTATAATAGAATCTAACACGATAAAAATAAAAAATCATAAGCAAAACAAATTTGTCAGGTGTAAAAATATCCAAGGTGGAAAGCAAGTGTATCGACGATGCATCAGTAGGTTTGCAAGTAAACGTATTAGAATCGAATGATGCGCTGTAGTGTAATGCGAAACAAGAGCGCATGGCAAAGATAGATGCAGCCAGCTCGGGAGTTGGTCGTACGCTGTGACCCACTTTTACGGGAGGTAGTGTTTGGTATCTCAGTAGCCAGCGGTGCCGGGCGTAAGATAAGAATTAAATGTTTATGAAAAGAAAGGTTATTTTTCACGAGTGTGTGCCTATGAGAAGCAGTGAAGATGGTTAGGAACATGATGTGTTTTATGTGAACGCAATGGATGATAAAAAGTATGTATACGCCGCCAATAGAATGGAAAACTGGGGTGAAATAACAGCGTTGTGTTTCGCCATATGAGTGAGGTTATCGGAGGCGCAATCCTTCTCCTCCCCCAATCCCAAAATCTCCAAATCCCCAATCCCCAAAAGGTCGCCAACGCAATCGTTACTAGTCCGTTGTTGTGTCCATAAGCGGCGCTGATTGCTTACCATTAGGTAATTCGTCTGCTCGTTTGCCGACCTGTCACAAAGTTATAGAATGTCAAGGAGAAAAAAAAATTTACTGCAAGCAGATAAATATACTGGATTAATGATTAATGTTACCTACCTACCTCTTAACGCATTTTACTACACGTGTAATTTTTTTACAGGTTTTTTTAAGAACCAGTTGTTGGTACAGGTTAGGTATTTTTTATGTTTAGAAAAACGAGTTTTTTGTTATCATTTGTTATTGCTCAATTGTTTTGTGTGAAAGTATTCAGTTGACAGGGATGTATCGGACTAGGTTACATAAGTTCAATAAATCTAATCTAACGTATAGTCAGCTATTTTCCAATACTAAAGAAAAAGTTTATTGCAACTTAAGCATAAGTATATTAAGGGAAAACTTGTGGGAAATGGATGTTTGGGGAGTAGTTATTAGTCGCGGAAAGAAGGTAGCATTCGTGTTTGTTTAGATCCACGACCATTAAATAATGCACAGGGTTGGGAATGGGTGCTGCTCTATATGAAGTGTCCTCTGTGAATTCTGGATGGTTCAAAAAGACGATGCCTATTTCTGCGAAAATTTAGCAGGACCCAAATCTTATATTGATAGCATTCTAATATAAGGACACTTTGACGAACATGATTCGAGACTCTTCTACGGCGGTCTAAAGTCTAAGCATATTGACATACATTTATTTGTAAAAAACAAAAAGTTTAGGCCACAAGTTGGATGTGAATAATATGAGGGTAGATAACTGAAAAATTAAGGCATTAATGGATATTATTCGGCTCATAGGAAGGCTCTATTGGTTAAAGAAATAATCAACATTGGTTTGAAATTGAACCATTCGGTGGCAGTGTATAGGTTGAAGGCAAAACCAGGTAGAACGCGGGCCCTGGGGCTGTAAAGGAACGGAGCGCAGTTGATGGTGCTAGTCCTAGTATCACCGGGGATCGAGAGTCGATCTCCGGCCACCGTAAGCTCAAGTCTCCGAACGACGAGTACCTAAGAGTAGCTTGCCGCCCGACCACAACCAGACCCACCGCAGACTTGCGCTTATGGAGAACCTGACCCAAGCGTAAGGCGCTTTGCATTTCGCGCACACCTCAGAGAGCTAATAGACCACTACAGACGGGGCCCAATAGGGTTGATTTTTAGCTGGGGTTGCTTGGTTTTTAGTCTGTAAGAGTCTAACACTCCCTCCCGCCCGACCCTGGGCGGGCAAATTCATAAGATGAATTTGCCATCACAAAAAAGTATCACGCTGTGCTAAAAGAACCGATCGGTGGTATTTGCGTCACTCACGCTCACCGACATTCAGACGAGATTTGCAAATTAGAAAAAAAATCTAAATTGTGGTTTCGACTTGTTGAAGCAGTAATTTTATGGGAGAATTGACGTCACCGTACACAGCAACCACAAACCACTGGAAGAGTTAGTTAGGGTACCAGCTAGGATACAAATAATGATGTTGAGTGCAATTGGATACGTCTCGAAGAAAGCAGACAAATATATTGTATTTAGCGGATACCACGTTGTCAACATTTGCAAAGGAAGAATTATGCTTGACTTAGTGTGTACAGAAGTGGAGATACAAACTGGTTTCCAGGTAGAAAATATACGTTCTAGTCAAATACGAATTGACGTTTACTTTTTGTATGACGACTGCGCGGTTGACATAGTGGCCGTTCGAAAATCCTAGTGCCCCACACTAGGATTTTTTTTTCACAACGTTTTTTTTAAGAAAATTTTCTAAAAATGAAACTTTCCTTAGTCCTCAAATAATATCTTCTGATTTATTTCATTCATGTTTTCATGGTTGTATCTACTGTAAGTAGATCATGGCTTACAGTAGTTGCAGTGGTTGCGGGAGCTGGCGGAGGACTTGACCCATTTCAAAAAAATAAAAAATACTTACTTAAAAAATAAAGTGTAGGCCAGAAACAAGCGAGATTTGAATGAATAATTCATCTTGTTTTTTTCTTGTGTTGCCTCGGATATTTTTGTCAACTACACTGCCAGTATCAAGCGGAGCGGGGACAACAGATTAATGAGCCTTCGACCTTCAGCATTGTGGTAGTTTAATCATAGAAGCATTATATGTATCTTAATATCAAAATCATTGGTAAATTCAGAAAAACATTTTAATGTGTTATTGGAGAAATAAATCATAAAGGAGTAAAAATTGATTAGAAAAGGAATTTTGATATCGGAAATTGTACCTATAATTAGTAATTTAAATAAGATTTAGTATTTATATTTTGTTTTTTATAGTAAGACTCGCTGTCATGCGTTCACAAGGCACATAGCCAAAGACGGATGTAAAACACGAGCGCGCGAAACAATATTTTGGTCGGGAATAATGTGACGACGCACGTAGAGCGCATTTTGTTCACGTTTGCAGCCTTCGCACTACACGTGACAGTGACGTTAGCCCTTAGTGCAGCATCAGACTCATACAAATATAAAACGAAATTAATTACACAGTTTTGCTTGATTACTATTCTAATTACATGGAAGTAAGACAAAGTAAACTCGAGACAGATGATTTGTTTTATGATAGACAGCTTGCACTTTACACGACTATCAACCGGGGGGCGAGTCGTGTAAAGTGCAAGTTGTCTATGGGCGCCGCTGCTGCGCTGTCGCGCTTACTGCCCAACCAAGGGGGCCCATCTCCTCCTGCCCGAGGCTCTACATGGGGGTCGTACGGTCAATGGCGTTATACGCTGCGCCAGTATGGGCGGACGCCCTGACGGCCTGCAACATCAAGGCCACAGCGCGCGATGGCCGTCAGGATAATAAGGGGATACCGTACGATCTCCTTTGAGGCAGGGAGCCTCCTAGCCGGATCCCCGCCCTGGGTACTCAACGCAAGACTCCTCGCGTCGCTCTATTGGTGGCGCGCGGAGGCAGTCGAGCGGGGCGAGTGCTGGTGCCTCGACAGATTGAGGCACTTTTTAGGATTTTTTTACGAAAACAATAGGTACTTGTGTGAAACGGATTAAAGATTATTAGACGGATTAGAAGTAGGAGCAATTTTTTTTCATTACATCTAACTTTATTAATGAAATAAAATATACACAGGTAGAAGTGACATCACGCGGCATTCGGTATTTCAACCCATTACATAAGAATTGACGTCAAAAAATTTTGTAACAGAAAAAATACGTGTTTAGAAATAAAAACTAATAGACTATTTGGTCTTAAAAATGTTAATTCATTTCCATTCTCTAGGTATTAGGTATATAATGTTATGCCCAAGCCCTATATTTACCTCCTCCAATTGAAAATCAGGTCGATCTTGATCTCCAGCCTTTTATTGTCAGGGGAAAATCATCAAATGACCGATCTCCCGCCCAGGGAAGGCGAGAGAGAGTGTCAGACTCTTACTGACTAAAAACCCCCCTGTTCCTTCTTCTGCTCTGGGCCGAGGCCTCGGTGACTCATAGCGCTTACCCCGCAACCCCGGCTGAACATCAGCCCTATAGGGCTCCGTTGGTGGTGGTCTATTGGCTCTTTTAGGGCCCGCGCGGAACACTACGCGCCGTCCGCTTGGGTCCGGATATGGTCGGGCGGCGAGCAACCCTTACTCGCCGCCCGCAGACCCGCGCTTACGGTGGCTGGAGATCGTCTCTCTCTCCAGCCTGCGTACTCAAACACATCATTAAGCTGAGCTCCGGCCTTTTTAACCGACTTCTTCACTGTAGCACAATGACGTATTATATATAGACACGTCATGAACCAACATCGCGGCGCTTAAAAACGGCGAAAATACAAGATAACTACTTCTACGACTAAAGAAAGGGAAAGCAAATATGACATCGTATAGTGGAATGCCTTTGCTAGAGGGAGATAAATATACATCTTCAGTTATGCCGACGGCACGTGACTATACCTTCATGCGCCGGCCGCCATAAGATGGCGGGCGCCGGCGTCGAAAAAAATAAAATAAAAATAGGTTGTTTGGTGAACTTACGCATGAAATGACACATTTTTGTATTTAACTTTTAGAGTATAATTTGTACATCCTCTGAACACACACGACGGCATGCTTTCTTTAGTTTCGCACAGGTTTACACACACGATATAAATTATAACAAACGTAGCGTCGCGCGGGAGGTTGGTGCGTGACTAAGCGCGATGTTGTCAAATTGCCTTCATTTCATGTTGCCATTTTAGAGCGCGGACAACGTATCTATAGATTTATACATCATTGCTGTAGCATGCTTTTTTTTTCTTTACCTATATCTTTCTCGTCTTATTTTTTGTGATATAGGAGGCAATCGAGCAAGTTGGTCATCTGATGGTAAGTGATCAGCACCGCCCATAGACACCAGACACCTGTTACACCAGAAGTGTCACAAGCGCATTGACGGCTTTTTAAGGAGTACTACACGCGTTTCTTGAATGTTTGAAGTTTGGATCGTGTATTATAAGTTTATAACTTTATTTTATCATTATTATTCATTGATTCCACAAAGTAAAATACTTACCTACTTTATAAGCTAAGCTTGACAAACCTATGCAACTTACTTAACTATACAAGGTCTTGACTTAACTTGATAAATTTGTAAATGTGAGTGCCCTGTAACCTATTACAATTGGTTAGACTAGCAGAATGTCGGTCCTTATCACAGCTTGGAGTTGTCATGCTCACTGAAAGGTCACACTGGCGGTGGCATGGGCGCTGGATCGCTTAATTCCCTATAATATGGTTGAGTTGGGCGATGCTGGTTGGGGTGTACGTGTCATGTTCGTGAACGGGCGCCGTCAGTTGAGACTGGTCAGCTCCAGACTGTCTATTGTCCTTAAAGTTACTTTATTTTTATATTTGAATAAATATTAGTGTTACACTGTTCTCACATAATTGAACCAACTGTTTGTAAAAGGAATCTGTATGAGAAACTGATTTAAAAAGAGTAACCATGGAGTTTTTTGCTCGTTCTTCTCCATCGGAATCTACACTTTGGAACGAGCAAATAGCTTCACTGACCTACAGACTGACACTATATCTTCAAAATTTTGTTTGACCTTCAAAAGTGCCTGTAAAGGTCTAATTGGTATAAATGATTTTTGACTTTGACTTGACTTTGTCTGTGGGGTCAATTGGTCTTTAGGCATCGTAGTGTTAAAATTAAATATTATTTAGGTATTGTAACATATACTCGTACCTACTTATTTAAAACTTGATACATTTCTAAATAAGATATCTTTTATGCCATAGGTCGGCAAACGTGCGGATAGATAGACGGATTACCTGATGGTAAGTAATCGGCGCCTTCCATGGAAACACGCAATACCAAACGGTGGCTCTAGTGTGTTATCTATTTATATTTAAAGATAGGGAATTTGAGGATTGTCGATGGGGGGTAGGGAGGGATGGTGGATAAATAATAATATTAAAATTTTAATAATAAAATAAGGCACATTGGGCTTTCGGTAACCTCACTCACACGGCAAAACGACTAAAAACCAACCCGGTGTTCCTCCACTTGCCCATGTGTCGGAGGGGCGGGTATCGCCGAAGCATTCGTCGCATCCCCCCGACGGGTATTGGCCCGCCAAATGGTTAGGCGGGCCCCGTCAACCACTGCGGCCGTCACCCCGACCGCAGGAAGGTATAGTGTTGTTTAGTGTGTTGTTAGGTATAGTGTTGTTCAGTGTTCTGTTACCAAAGTTATCTATTGGTGACCTTAGGTAGATTATGGTTGTACGGTGGTAGTATGATTATGGTTTTGGCTTTATTTCTTTCATTTCTACTTCTTGATGTGATCGAATTACCGATAGTAAATTCGGTTTGGCCGACCAAGGGCCGCGAAGGGCCACGCGACAGGAAATAAGCTACATATAAAGGTCAACAATTTATCGAAACCGGTTAGAGTAAACTATTTGTAACGATTAGTATGTAAATATCACAAAATTACATCGGACAGCTTGGCACCACCTTTCTGACACAACTAAGGTATGATTTATAATTTTACTAATGACCCGCCCAGAATTTGCAAGGGCACGATGTTGTTACTAAACATATTGATCGGCAAACGAGCAACCGGATTACCTGATGGTAAGCAATCAGCGCCCGCCTATGGACATCCGCAACAACAGAGGAGTTACAAGTGCGTTGCCGACCTTTTGAGGATTAGGGATTTGGAGTTTTAGGGATTGGGGGAGTGGAAGGATTGGGCCTCTCTGTGGTTGGTTCACGCGGGTTTTCTGTGAGGCCGTGGTATTACTCCGGTCGAGCCGACCCATTCGTGTCGAAGCATGGTTCGCCCACACTTGAAAACTTCCTCCTTTTATGGATGACTTCCTCTATTTAATGAATACATATACAATACAATACATATAAAACTTCCTCTACAATTACTAGTTATTAAAAATCGCATCAAATTCCTTTTAAAGATTAAAGCATACATAGGGATATAGGGGCAGAGAAAGTACCGAGTGCCACAAAATGGTTGTGGGTTCAAACGCAATAATGTCCCAGGGCCCCGGTCTGAAGCAGCAGGTCGATTCTATAAAATTTGTTTGATTTTGAATCGTGTTCGAGTGCGAAGTGAACGTCGAAGTGACCGGCAAATTAAATTTTAGAATGCCACTTTTAACGTCATTTCATACTTTATCTTTCAAAATGTTGCTGTCAATTTAGTTCAACTCGCAAGTGTAGCGCTAGTGTACTACAACTCACAGCGGATTCAGATTCGAAGTTTAGAATGAAGTCTTACAGAATCACACTGCAGATCTGACACTCCCTTTCGTCTTGTGAGGGGAAAATCATCAAATGTCTTCTCATGCCCAAGATGAGGCGAGAGGGAGTATCAGACTCATACTGACTAAAAACCTTTCCGTTCCTTCTCCTGCTTTAGACCGATGTCGCGGTACCTTATTGCGCTGGCCCGTTACTAAGTTATTTCTGTCTCTGTACTACCATTGTTACTGTCTCTGTACAACTTTTTTTTTGGTACCTACATAATAAATAGTTTCTATATATATAAAAGAAAGTTGTGTTAGTTACTTCACTTATAACTCAAGAACGGCTGAACCGATTAAGCTGAAAATTGGCAGGGAGTTAGTTTAGAGCCAGGAGAAGGACATAGGATAGAGTAGGTAGTGTAGGGCAGGTAGAGTAAGGTAGGTAGAGTAGGGTAGGGTAGGTAGAGTAGGATAGGGTAGGCAGAGTAGGATAGGTAGAGTAGGGTAGGTAGAGTAGGGTAGGGTAGGTAGGGTAGGATAGGTAGAGTAGGGTAGATAGAGTAGGGTAGGTAGAGTAGGGTAGATAGTCAAATGACGGGAGCGACGCCGCGGGTAAGAGCTAGTAGTTGAATATAATGTACGCAAAATAAAACATTAGTATTCATGAAAATCCGTTTATTCTACCGTTTCTGGACCTAGCTCTTATGTTGTATCCGTTGGCACAGGATACAGAGATGGCGATGTTCAGCTTTATATTGTCGAGGGTACCGGCAGGTTCCAGCTTTGCGTACCGAAGCACCCACACCACTATCGTCTTGATAAGAGCCGTGGCATATACTCGACCTAGATAAGAAAAATGTATGAGAAACATCCCTATATAAAGGTAACTTTAGTACCTAGTACCTATTTAAAAGTTAGGTCTTTACGAAAGATCAATGACACATAGTCAACAAGTTGAAGCAACGTTTGGGCTCCGTTACGACTTGAAATAAATCGAGCATCCTCGAAAAATGTATAGGAGTTTGGAGGTTTTAATTGCTTATCATTAGGCGACCCGATAATGAATTTTTCATCGGGTTGGTCGGCAAATGAGCGAATGAGTGAGTAAAACGGAGTACCTGATGGTAAGCTAAGGACACTCCTGAGGAGCAATGGAATTACTGCAAGTGATTTAGGATTGAGTATAGGAGGGAGGAGGATTCAAGAACTTCCGTTACCTAAACAGTCCATTGGACCCAAACTGAATGGTACAAAAGCGTTGGGGTCTCGTTTCTTCACGTTCTCTGGAAGGAACCTCTCCGGCATCACTCTGTGAGGATCCTCCCAGAAGCGAGGGTCACGATGGAGGTTGTGGATCGGTATCACCAGCGATGTGCCGACTGGGAGGGTGATACTTCCTGCAAGGTGAGCATAAACTATGTAGATTTCACTTGGAACCAGCTCCACAGCCTCACGACCATCAGTGAAAATGCTGATCACGACTAGTATTTAATAAATAAAAAATACTGATCAAATAAAAAAATACTACGTTAAATTGTTGATTAGGCCCTGTCACGAAATTAAATGTCCATGATTTTTTTAAACCTGTTTATGATTATTCATATAAGTAGTATGTTTGTATTATGTACATAAAATTATTTTAATCAGCAGTATTAAATTTTATGAAATTTAAAACCTGTTCCAAATTAAAAGAATTAAAACTGCACGCATTAATAACCAGTTTATATTCAACTAGCTTTTACCCGCGACTTTATTCGCGTGGGATAGTGACTTCCTGCAGATTTTTGGTTAAAAAACTATCCATTGTCCTTTGTCGAGTTTTAAACTATGTCTGTACTTTCACACAAATAGGTTCAGTAATTTAGGCGTGAAGAAAAGACAGACAGACAGTTACTTTCGCATTTATAATAGTAGTAGGTACAACTTTAACAAGTGTGGGAGAGCCAAGCTTCGGCACGAATGAGTCGGCTCGACCGGGGTGATATCACGGCCTCACAGAAAACCGGCGTGAAATAACAGCAGCGTTGTGTTTCGCCGTGTGAGTGAGGTTACCGGAGGCCCAATCTTTCCCCTCCCCCGATCCCTCCCCAATCCCTATAAGATCGGCAACGCACTCATAACTCCCCCGTTGCGGGTGTCCATGGGCGACGCTGATTGCTTACCATCAGGTAATCCGTTTGCTCGTTTGCCGACCTATTACATAAAAAAAAACTTAAAACCTGTTCAAAATTTAAGACTGCACGCTATTTAAAATCTATAATCATGGGTTAATTTATAGCCTAACTAATTAAAAGTCATGTGGTGGCTGGGAGGTTAAGGCACCTGTTTCTTATTTATTTATTTATGTTAATACGGATTTAACCCATTTACGGCCAAATAAAAATGAACTATGTTAATGAAGCAAAATCTTTATTTTCTTAATATTAGGAATACAAACAAACATAAAAAGAGGAAAAAAATAATTGAAAGAAGTTTTTTCAGAAATTACAGGCGTGTACCCAAATTGGCACAGTGGCCATTTATGAATGAAATTTGGTAAAACAAGATTTTTCAATGCAGAGTGTTTTCTTGCACTTTTTACAACCCCAGCGGCTTCTATTGTGGCAGACAACACAACGCACCCGTTTAGGTAGCTTTTCAGGCACATGGTCAGCACCATCTAGTGGTAAACCATCGATGTTTGATGAAGAAGGGCGAGCAGTTATTTTTTGTGAATGTTGTTTTAGGTAAAACCTTGCAATATTTCGTCGAAATAGTAGCTGATCCATGACGTCATCTTTTCTTGAAATTACATGCAAGCACCATGCATTAGATATGGCCATATCAATCATGTAGGTAAACAAAACCCACCGACATTTTTTGCCATGAATGCCAATCCTATATACCTTTTTATTTCTCTGAATCTGTTCCGAGACATAGCCTTAGATACTACCTCAACGCCAATATCTTCATCAAGTGACCAATACATACTTTCTCGCGGCAGTTTGTGGTAACCAGATAGTAACAAAATCCCAAAAAATACCTTCAGCTCAGCAATAGTAACGGAAAAATTCTGTCTATTGTTTTGACTCGCGTACTGTTGAATAAAGTCCACAATCATTGTAAACAACTCATCATCAAAACATTTTTCAAATATTTGTACTGGTGTCAAATCTTTCACTTCTTTTTTCATGCAATTTTCATTGCACAAACGGTCGTCGGATTCTGCGTATATTTTAGAATAATTTGGAGTACACTTACGCCAAGTCGGAACATTCAAAGCCGATCGATTTTGTGCATCACTTGATTCATTGGAACGTTGTGTATTGTTTTTCCGAGTTCGTTTTGCAGCCAATGGTTCATTATCGCTGTCGTCCTCAGAATCCGAAAGAGTGCCAATATTTTGCACAAACACCTCGATTTCTCCTGGTACATCACCTGGCAAGTTGTTTGCAATAGTTTCATCATCAAAACCCTCCTCTTCGTCGGTAACAACACTTGGTTCTGGTGGAATTATGGCCAAGTCGTACTCCAAACCATCATCACTATCTTCGAGTATAGTAGTTAGGGCCTCTTCTAAACCACGGTATTGGTTACTGGCGCTATACCGGCTTTTGTGGTTCATCTTGATAATCTGCAAATAGTAATACACTTGTAGCCGTTGTACCCAAATTGGCACACCAATATTTTATATGTGATAATGACCTATGTATATAGTTTTGCCAACCAAAAATCTGTTTATACACTTTGTTATTTATTGTTTATAAAGATGTATAAGTATTTATATGGAAATGTATATTGGGTATAACAATAAAAATTACAAACAAGTACTTACCTCTACAAGTCTTTTGATAACGAGTTTTTATTAAATTTTATGCAAGAACACTTCAATTACGTGGAATAGATTGATATTATATTTATTCAGAGTATTTTCGACTATTCTTTAAGCAAAAGTTATACTGACTTACTTCAATACTTTTTTCACCTACCCTCATTAACTAACTGTACCCAAATTGGTACAGCGGTCAAGAATGGGTTAATCCAATCACATTACATTCACAACAAAATACTAGATAAAATAACAACTTTCATAAGTTCCTCTCGCAGTATGTCATGCATTCCAATATTTTTTTAATTCTCCCCGTTGTGCCTATTTCTATTTCTATCATTCTTTACATTTCTCTATTTATATTTCTATATTATCTACATTTCTTCTGTCATTCCTTGACACTTGTACCGTTTCTGGATAGTCAACTCAGTTCTGTGAAATCGGCCAGGTCCAGATTCTTAGATTCCACAATCCCGCCTCGCAATAAAAATGTTCTGTGGTGTTTAGTGACTAGCTAGTTTCTTCTCCCAGTTGTACAGTAAGTATCTTTTGCACCTTTAAAAACTGATGAAAAACATGAACAAAATAAGTACTGATGAAACAACAAAAAAAAAAGTAGTTTGTAATTAAACTTTGCCCCCGACTTCGTCCACGTTATATACCTTTTAACCTTCCTCGACATAGGGGCTACGCATAACACTGAAAGAATAAGTACTTAGGTAGATCCTGAGGTCAGAAACAAACAAAAACACTCCTTTATAATATTAGAATGTATTAATATAATTTATTCTAACAACTAACTTTGCCCTTTGTTAATCTGACTAGTTTTAATTATAATTCTATCATATTTTTGTGTAAACTCGTAATTTTAAGAATGTTCGATAACTCCACACTGGCTAATGTATAAGACTTAATATGGTAGCATGTTAATTTGATTAGTTTTAGTTATAATTCTACAATATTTATTTTTTCTATTTTTTTGTGTAATGTTGGTTAGCTCGTAATTGGCTAATGTATAAGATCTACTACTACCTATTATCTAAAACATTTAAGAACTTTGTATACATAAGCTGTGAGCCTACCTTTTTTCAATAAATAAAATAAAAATAAATAGGGTACCTCAATTTTTTATTTAGGTTAGGCGCAAAATATGGCAATAGGTACAGTATTTTGCAGGCATTGGAAAAAATCAGTCGAATGCGCATACTCCGTCATCGCGATTTACCTCCTTCACTGGACCTTCCTGACCCTATCAATCAATCTATTTTATCATTGCATCAAGTTGCAAAATGATATTTGGAAATTCTAATTTCGCCGGCTTACCTTGAAGCATCGGCTTACGGAGCGGCCAAGGAGATTTAAATTTATCTTCCATTCAATAATAACAACAGTTTTTAAATCGGTTGACAAGATGAATTTTTTTATTTATGAAATTTGTGAAAAATCTAAATTCATATGTCTTTGACATTTTTTTTTCGTTATGCAACTGACTATATTTAATTTTAAATTTAAATTAAATACAGAGCCACCCTCTAAGCATTTTTATCTTCTATATAATCATTTAGTTTGTTGTATGCTTTCCTGCATAATACTTTCTCAGATGTCAATTTAAATTTCGAACGACTTCAAAAAGTAAGTACGTTCTCAATTCAAAATGTAGGAATGAGTTTTTTGATTGGTACCTACTTATTCTTTATTCCTTTTTAATAACGTGCCATCATCATCTTTCGGTTATCGATGAATTCAATAAAGAGCAAAACAGTTACTACTTGTTTTTTGAGGATAAAAAATCATCATATGACTTCTTTCGCTGAGAGTGGGACGAGAGGAAGCGTTAGAAACTTACTGACTAAAAAACAACCCTTCCTTCTTAAGATAGGTACAATTATTATGGAAAAGAATGACACCCGTTACACAGAAGAGTTATAGAAGCTATTAGTATAGGCGTTTCCGGGGCTTATTGCAATAAGATACCGCGGCCTGGGCCTGGTTTTAGTCTGTAACATTCACTTATTCTTGCCTCAAGAAAAGTAAGTAATTTGATAATTTTACCCTTTTACAAGAAGCTTTAGTACAGGGCATAGACTGGACCTGCGGTAACTTAACTCAATTGACAAAACACAACATAATCATAGCTTCTTTCACACCAGTTTTCTGAAAGGCCGTGGTGTTACTTCGGTCGAGCCGGTTCGAAAATTCCAAAGCTTTTCTCATTTTACGTAAGAAATATTCAGCTCACGTATACCTAAGGAAAATAAAAAAAAACAAAATATTGTCATACCGTCTTTTACAGTAATCTCCTCCTCCACAGTCCTTTGTATCAGGGCAGCTATGGAGAAATACCGCAGTGTCTCCTTATACACCATGTCCAGGTACTCCAGCTGCTTCAACTGCTCACTGGTGACTGGACCATCAGGCCCGACCACATCCATCATCTCCTTGTAAACTTTATCCTGGAATTTTGCAAATGTTGATGTTCAATATAAATGTCAAAAAGAATCTCGGTATGAGAACGATGCCTTATTTCTGGTAGGACCCCGTCTTCAATTCCCATATCCTCATATTCCTCACAACTCACAATAAAATGATGGTTAGTATATGCTTCATGCGTCGACATGAATGGGCCAGTGTGACACCACGGCCTCGCACAAAATCGGCGTGAAACCACCACAACGGTGTCTTTCGCCGTGTGACTGACGATATCGGAGGCTTAATACTTCCCTTTCCCCAATCCCTAAATCCCCAAAACAAATTTTCGACTTATAGGCCTGCAACACACTTGTAACTATTCTTGTGTTTGCTAGTGTTCTTGTTCGTTTACCGCCATATCAAATCAGAAAAGAGATTTGCTATACCACGTTAAAACACTGGTGGAACCAGGACTAGTAGATCCAGTCAACTCATTGACCTTGGGCTCAATAGATATTTCTCACAATCCACAAATTGCCGGCAACGCATTTGTAATTAATCTAGTGTTACAGGTGGCCACAGGGCAGCGCCGATTTTTACCATCAGGTGATTCGTTTACGCGTTTGCTGACTCTTACTACACCTCTGCAATTTTAAATTCTCCGTTTTCAATGAAAAAATAGGCTTTTTGCTCATAGGAATAAACTTTGAGAATAATTAAGGCAGTCAAGTAATTTTATATTCAAATTGCCATTTTTTATTATTGTTATTATCTTTTTGGTGGGAACACTAATCTATACTTAATATTATAAAGAAGTAAAATTTGTAAGTTTGTGTGCTTTGGAAGAGGCTATAAATTTTTGATTTGCGTAATTTAGTCAAGCCATCGCTTTAAACGCTGCTGTTGTTTTTAAAATTCCGGGATAAATTACTTTTATACGCGTGTGAAGTGGGCGGAAGCGGGTTATATTAATAATTATAATATGTTTTAGAGTGTTTTTAATAAATATGTGAATATATATTATAATATTAAAACAGCTTAGACAATAATTAGTTTTAATGACGCTCAGACATTTTAATTAATTATTAGGATACATTACATAATTAATGTGACTAAGGCACATAATAAATTCATGTATTTACAACTTAACTTTAACACGCTTATAAGCTGGCCTCGTCGTTAGGAGAAATAGGCATAATTATGTCTATTGAGTTCGAGGTCAATAACTTAAAGTAGATTCTGGAAGGTAGGTTCCACGAGTTCTTTTTTTTATTTCCATGAACATACCAGCTCTTTTTTTTAATGTGATATGGTGACTAAAGAGGATACCCCGCTATTGACAGCCGTAACATCGTAAGGGGTTTTGGTGATTTAGGGATAGTCGTGGGATGAGTGGAAGGGTAGTAGAGCCTCATGTGCCATCACTCACCCGGCGAAACACAACGCTATGGTTGTTTCATGCCGATTTGTCTGAGGCCGTGGTATCATACCGGTCGAGCCGGCCCATTCGTGGCGAAGCATGGCTTTCCCCATTTTCCACATAACTCGTGCATTCAATTTGTTTATAACAGCCAAATTTTGTCATTTGTGTCACCAAAACAATTGGACTGTAGTGATAGGTTACTTGAGATTAGTTATATACATTTAGTATTTGGCAGATACTAAATGTATATAATGTATAGTTATAACATATAGTTATATTGCAGACCCAGCTACGCGCTGCGGTAGCTAAGGTTCTTGTCATATTACATGTGGACATTGGTATTTGCAATAAAATAATATTGTGACTATAAATTGAGTTGTAAGCTATCCTATCTTTCAAGTTGGATCAACATGCACGGAATGCAAATCATTTTTAAAATCGGTTGAGTAGTTTAGTTAGAAGTCCATCGTGGGCAAACACGTGACACGAAATTTTTATATCTCTATATTATACTAGCTATTCCCGCGCGGTTTCACTCGCTGCTCGGCTCCATTAGATTTTAGCATGATGTTGTATAGCATATAGCACTCAGGAACATTGTAGCTATCTATCAGTCATAGCAAGGCATTTGATTGTGTCAGCTGGAGCTGTCTCTGGAGAGTGTTATCGGAACTGGGTGTACCTCGCCATTTGACTGCACTTCTGCAGTCATTATACAGTAGCAGTCAAGGAATGGTGAGGATTGATGGGACAACATCCAAAACATTCAGTTTTGAAAAAGGAGTTCGGCAAGGCTGTATTCTCTCGCCCATTCTGTTCAATATATACGGCGAATACATAATGAGGCACACCTGTGATGACTGGGATGGTGGCATCGCCGTCGGCGGACAAAAAATTTGTAATCTGCGTTACGCAGATGATACCACTCTACTAGCGTCAGATGAAGCAGAAATGTTCGCCTTATTGAATAGAATGGAGCGCATCAGCGGAGAACTGGGACTCTCTATAAACAGATCCAAAACGAAGATCATGGTTGTAGATCGCTCAGGCAAGCTTGAGCTCACTGGGACACTTGATCTGGAAGTAGTTGACAGCTTTATATACCTGGGCTCAGGCATTAGCAACAATGGCTCTTGCGAATCAGAGATACGAAGAAGAATTGGGATGGCAAAAGGAGCCATGGCACAGCTTCAAAAAGTATGGAAGGACAAGAACATCTCGTTAAAAACAAAGAGCAATCTTGTGCGCACAGTGGTGTTCTCCATATTTTTGTATGGCGCAGAGACGTGGACCCTGAAGAAGGCCGATCGTGACCGCATTGATGCCTTCGAGATGTGGTGTTGGCGAAAAATGCTAGGGATTCCTTGGACGGCACACCGCACCAATGTATCGATCCTCCAGGAGCTTAAGATCCAGACAAGGCTCTCTTCCATATGCCTCCGCAGGATTCTGGAGTTTTTTGGACACACTGCCAGAAGGGGTAATGATAACTTGGAAAAGTTACTAATCACTGGTAAGGTGGAAGGAAAGAGAGCTAGAGGCAGAAGTCCGATACGCTGGACGGATCAGATTCGCACCACTCTCAACACTACAGTCCACGATGCTCTCCACTCGGCGGCAGATAGAAATAGATGGCGGAGAGTAATACGCAGTACACTGCTTCCACGAGGTGGTCACGACCCTCAGCACTGAGGAAACCGACGCGAGGAGGAGGATACATATATTAAAGATTCTAAAGCTGAAGAGTTTGTTTGTTTGAACGCGCTAATCTCCAGAACTAATGGTTCAAATTGAATAATTATTTTTGTGTTTGTTTGACATTTATTGAGGAAGGTTTTAGGCTATAAAACATCACGTTAGGATTTGTAGAAGTGAAACCGCGCGACAGAAGCTAGTTTTTATTAAACGGTTTTATTTAGCTCACCCCGTTTGTTTTATTTATTCTTGGGTCAAATTTAGTAATTCAAATTTCACCCTCTTCCTGTCAACCGATTAATCTGGAATTTTGTATACACTTTGGATTTTGGTGACAATACAATTATGTTTATTCATTATCATTATAAATCCAAGATGGCGGCCGCCACAAAATGGCGGATAACGTAGGTTTTATCAATCCCGTCAATATGGGTATCAAATGAAAGGGCTCAACGAGCAGAATACAATATAGCTACTATAAACAAGATCCAAGATGGCAGCCGCTACAAAATGGCGGATAACGCATGTTTTATCAATCCCATCGATATGGGTATCAAATGAAAGTGCTCAAACAGTAGAATACAATGTACTATGCAAAATTGAAATCTAAGATGGCGGCCTCTACAAAATGGCGGATAACTTAGGTTTAATCAATTCCATCAACATGGTTATCAAATCAAAGGGCTCAATGAGCAGAATACAATATAGCTACTATGAACAATTTAAATCCAAGATGGCGGCCGCTACAAAATGGCGTATAACGTAGGTTTTATCAATCCCATCAATATGGGTATCAAATGAAAGTGCTCAACCAGTAGAATACAACGTACTATAAAAAATTAAAAATCCATGATGGCGGCCTATACAAATTGGCGGATAACTTAGGTTTTATCAATCCCATAAACATGGGTATCAAATAAAAGGTCTCAACAATTAGAATACAATTTATTATGCAAAATTGAAATCTAAGATGGCCACCGCTACCAAATGACTGATAACAATTTTTTATCAATTCCATCAATATGGGTATCAAATAAAAGGGCTTGACAAGAAGAATACAGTGCACTATACAACCTCAATATTTAAGATGGGCGCAGCCCGTGGGCGTAGCCACTAAATGGCGTATATTAGACATTGAATCTGTAATTTAGGTATCTGATTAATCCAGCCTGAATCCACCAAATAAGTCAAGATTTTGTATCGTGTTGAGGACTGTGTGGCGTTAGGGTGGATAAAAATGATATGTCGTAACCGTTTTCCCCACAAGACTCAGGCGCATCTTGTTGTACATAGCCTTGCGCCTTTATTGGACTTCTGGGGTCGATCATTTAAATGTCCATTACTTGTGGCAACAAAATGGTAAAAAAAATTGAAAAATACAAACACAAATCTCAGTAACGTCCATTCTCTGTAAGACAATGGAACGTGTACTGAACATGAAGGTCCTGGCATACCTAGAAGCCAATGCCATCCACATTTGGAGCGAGGCCATCGAGAAACACGGGGAAACGCGTGCCGTCTCCCTTGACATCTCGAAGGCTTTGGATAGGATATGGCACGAAAGCCTTATTAGTAAGCTTCCTTCATTCGGTTTACCTACTGGATTGTGTGTTTGGATCGCAGACTTTCTGAGGGACCGGTCCATTCGTGTGTTCATCGATGGTTGTTCGTCGAGTCAAATGAACATCAATGCTGGGGTCCCTCAGAGGTCAGTGCTGTCGGCAACATTGTTTTTGTTGCATATACACGACCTGCTTAAGCCCGGTACCTTTGGGTATGCAGACGACAGCACTTTTGCTGAGAGTTACACGTCCGGCGCACGAGCCAGTAGGTCACAGATCCAGTCTCTTCGAGGGGCTATGGTTGGGCGCTTGAACTTGTCCTTGGAGGCTGTCTCTGAATGGGGCGATGCCAACATGGTCAGGT